GCCCTGGCCCCAAAGTCCACCTTCGGTATTCCCTGGGGACATCACCGCTCCATTCCCTTGCTGTTCTGTTGCACCCCCTTAGTGTTTTGCCTCAGTATGGTGAGATCAGATCGGGCGCAATTCCCATAGTGTCTCCAGTGTTGTCCCCTATAGGGCTATAGGTCAGTGAGCTGCTTCAGAATTTTGTAGAACTGATCGGAGATGATAATTCACAGAATTGGAAAACCCGATGAATCCTAATAGGATAGATGAGATCCACAATGGGACACATGCCTGTAGAACTCCAGTATGCCACAGAAAAAAGATCTTCAAAGCCCCACTGCCTGCAGAAAAAGAATGTTTGGAAACGGACTGTGGTAGCAATTGTACAATTCTACTTGACCCGATTGAAATGTGGAATGATATATAAAATCCCAACTAAAAAGGATCCTAAAAAAAAGAAGCAAACCCCCACTGCCATTCAGTCCGTTCTGACTGTAGTGACGCGACAAGACCGCGCAGACTGTCCGTCATGGGGTCTTAGACGCAGTCTTCACAGGAGTGGCTGGTGGGCTTGAGCCCCTTGTCTGAAAAAGGGAGCGACCAAAAGCATCGTGCCTCCCGATGAAAAACTCTGAGAACCGTGCAGGGGGTGTTACACATGCCACTAAATCTGCAGTTCTCAACCCCCTTATGAATGAAGTGTAACTCTTATGAATGAGGTGTAACCCCCTTATGAATGAAGTTAACTCCCTTATGAATAAAGTGTAACTCCCTTATGAATAAATTGTAACCCCCTTATGAATGAAGTGTAACTCCCTTATGAATAAAGTGTAACCCCCTTATGAATGAGGTATAACTCCCTTATGAATTGAGTTAGTTAGTTTATTGTGCCAACCTGGCCGATAAACACATGTGGGGTTAATTGAAGGGTAGAGAGATAAATGGCTCCGTGAGCCTCACTTTTGAGTTCTCGGGTCTTTTGCTCTGTGATGGTCGGAGCAGAGTGCAGCTGCCTTAGCCAGTTCCCTGCTTCAGCTGGCAAGGCTCACTTCCTGCAAGGCATCCCTGAGGAGAAGCCACATGGACCTACCCCAATGCAGCCCTGGGTGCTGGCGCAGCCGTGTGGAGACCCCTGCTAGTGCTGAGATGCTTGTTCGTTCACTGACTCAGCTTTCCTCCTGCAGTCGGCATCACTGCGTGTGTTTTGTGAGGTGGAGGAGGACTTTGTGGATTGGTGTTGGACACATGGGTTAATGTTGGACTTGTGGGCTTAGGCAGCACTGGGTTGGGATGTTTTCTTGATGCGCACTTAACCTTTACATAAAACTGTTCCTTATATACATGTGAGTTTCTGTGGATTTGTTTCTCTAAAGTACCCAGACTAACACCTGAATGAAGTGTAACTCCCTTATTAACGATGCATAACTTCTATGAATAAGCATGCTTTCTTTCTTCTTAACTTTCTTGCAATCCTGACTGCCCCACTCTGTGTGCCCCTACCAAGTGACAGCAAAGACCCTTTGAGTGTGAGGACATTTCCAGTCACGTGTTTTGGTTTTTTTTGTAAGCGCTCACGTGGCACAAACAGGAAAGCTGCTCATCAAAAGGTCAGCGGTGGACACCCACTCACTCATCCTAAGAAAGGCAGTCTGGCAGTCTGCCTCCATAGAGATTACAGCCAAGCAGACCCTCTGAGGCACGTCTGCTGTCACAGAGCGCTTCTGTGAGCCAAAACTAGAGACTGTGCGTCAACCACCTTTGTTTTGAAAGCCGCAGCACTGCAGTTACTGCAAACAGAACAAAAGGCATTGTATATACGAAAGGATGTGTGACTCAAGGGCTCGAGATGATAAAATCTGAGTCCAAAGGCCGGAATGGTATCAGAGTGTAATTTGTGATCACATGGTCTGCAGAAGTCTGGGAACAATGGTTGGAGCCCAAAACCCACTGGCAGGGTCCCCACATATCTTAAGCCTCTGGTGAATTCCCTCTGACCACAGCTGAGGGGTGGGAAGAGCCTTCCCAGCAGACAGCACTGTGGACTCAATCATGGCCGATGCCGTTAGGTTAAGATGTAATGCCTTATCATTTGATCTCCCTTTGGCCCATTTTAAATCTATCATTTTTTTAAAAGTGATGGGGAAATACACATGGATTAGGCCTTCAGTGAATCCCTTTTGACTATATCACAGATGTAAACAGCCTTGTGATCAGGCAGTCTGCACTGGAAAGTGGATTGTTACGGATGCGGTTAGGTTAAAAACAAGCACCTTGGAGGTAAAACAAAACAAAACAAGTATAACACCTCTGATCTTCCTTTTGACCCGTTTTATTTATTTATTTTAATCATTATATTGGGGGCTCGTACAACTCTCATCACAATCCATCCATCCATCCATTGCGTCTAGCACATTTGTACATTTGTCACCATCATTCTTAAAACATTTTCTTTCTACTTGAGCCCTTGGGATCAGCTCCTCATTTCCCCCACCTCCCTCACAAACCCTTGATAATTTATAAATTATTATTTTCCTCCCCCCAACTACCAGCACCCCAATTCTGCC